GTACAGAAACTAATAGATAGTCTTGTATTATCGATATTGTATTCTAAATAAAGTATAATCTTTGCTCTTTCATTAACCTTGTAACGAACTGCCACAGTGAAGTAATATTCTACTTGGACACTGTTGAAAGCCTCTCTTCTGTGTCTTATATTACTTGTGTTGAATCAAGAAGGCCAACACTTGTAATAATATAATTTGACATATAACAGATCTTACTAGCATAGACTTCTTTGTATGCATGAATATTCAATAAATCTATATATAATTGAGACATTACTTGACTACCAAGTCAGATAAAAATATTTTGACTATCTTCTAATAAATATGCACTATAATATTTTAATTTTTTGCTACTTAAATTAAGAGACAATAGCATATCTAAAAAAAAAGAGAGAAATAGTTAGTTTTCATTAAAAATAAATGAATTAAACAAAAAAAAATAAGAAAACTAGTACTTATTATTAGACCCAAGTTCAAATCTCTATTGTCTAAGCAATTTTGTATTCAACAAAGTCTGGCTCTATAAAAAGAAAAAGTTGCTTGTTGAAAAAATTAAACAAAGAATAAGAAAGAAATTAGCACTTACTATTACTAGTTTCTGGTTTTATCTAAGCATGAATTTTTATTGTCTAGTACAATTTTATGTCCTAATAAAACTAAGACTTACAAAAAGAAGAGTTAGTTTTCTATTGAAAAAAAAAGAATTAAACAAAGTTCCAGTATTGCCTAAGTCTAAATTTTATTATTCAGTATATTTCATGTTACAACAAAACCAAGACCTACAAAAGAAAGAAAAGAAGAGTTAGTTTTTTATTGAAAATAATTAAACAAAAAATAAGAAAAAAACTAGTATCTACTATTACTAGTTTCTAGTTTGCTCAAACCTGAATCTTTATTGTCTAATGCAATTTCATATTCTAACAAAACCCCAGACCTGTAAAAAAAAGAAAAAAAGTTAATTCCTTGTTAAAAGAAAAGAATTAAAGAATAAGAAAGAAACTAGTACTCTATTATTACTAATTTCTAGTTCGTCCAAGTTCAAATCTTAATTGTCTAGTACAATTTTACATTCTAATAAAACCCAGATCTACAAAAAAAAAAAAAAAAGTTAGTTTCTTTTTGAAAAAAAAGTAAAAGGTTAAACAAACAAAAAAAGATTAAACAAACAAAAAAAAAAATTAGTAATTAAATTAATTCTCAGTTCTGCCTAAGTTCAAATCTTAAACATTCATCACTGATTTGTATTCTAATGAAGTTTAAAACCTGCAAAAAGAAAAAAAGAATTAGTTTCTTATTGAAAATAAAAAAAAATTACTTGTATACTTATATTATATTACAGAAGTTAGTACTCTAACTTTAAATGAAAATCTTCGAATTACAAAAGATTAAAGGTCAACATTTGTTCATTCTAATAAACAAACATTTTAGGCATAATCTTATAATTGATTTTATTAATAAACAGGAAAAATATCTTATGATTAATAAGAAACAGTTAATATTTAATATAGAATAAATTTAATTAAAATTTTGTGAGCTAAAAAAAAAGAATTATAACTTATTATACTTATTTAAAGCTGATTTTAGCTGAATTTTGAAAAAATTCATTTACCTAATCATCACATTGAGGTATTAGCAATAGATCAGAGATGAAAAAAAAAGCAAACTATACTAAATACAAGTTCCCTATAAAAAATAACTAATTAAGCAAAGTAAACTTCTATAAACTAGTAAATTTCTTATATGTAACTAATAATAAATCTAACTTAAAACTCTAATGAGAGTATATGTATCTTATCACTAATTTCTAATATTTAACCTGGAAGAAACTGTAGCCTAAAGATCTAGTAAATAGTTAGGAAATTTTTCCAGTACAAAAATTAGAGCCTTAAATTAAGTTTATAGATTTACAACTTCACCAGAGCACCTACTCGTTTAGTCAAGTGGTTAGTAAAGAATACTTACTATACCAGAGCACCCACTCATATATTTGGAGTAGTTAATATAGAATACTTATAGTAATAAACTTAACCTATTTCTCTAGACTTTCAATTCAGAAACCAGAGCACCTGCTTGTCTTGTCAGGTGGTTAGCGCTGAATACCAAAGTACTTTGGAAAGAATAATCTAAGACGCAACAAGGTTAGGGTTATAAAAAAGTGCAACGTCTTGAAAGCTCAAGGGTATAGGTTATATCAAAGTTAGACGAAACTTGAAAGAATTTTTTTTTCGATTGTTCTATTTATATTTGATCTTATTAACGTTAAGTAACGCGCTAATTAACCAATCACATTCCTGTGAATTTCTCAATTAGTCCGAGTAGTGTCTGAGTTCGATTGATTAATTAGCAGTCATCATTTTTAGAAAGTCAACAAAGTAGGGAAGTCATAGAATTAAGTCGACTTTTGCAGGAAACTAGTGATAATGTTACAACGACCCCTTCAGGCTTATTACTATCAGCCAAACGTCCAGTTGTGAAAAAAATACTGGAAGCGATGGCCTCCGGGATAGACGTGTCGTCTTTATTTGGCGATGTTGTCAAGGTAATTGATTCATTACTTTAGATAAAATATAATTAAGATTACTGGTGGCTAATTTTTTATTATGTTACTCGAGAAAGGCAGCCTCCACGAAAGATCTAGTTCTCAAAAAACTTGCTTATATATATAACGCAAGCTGAGAAAAATGCAGATCTGATAATATTAGCAATTAATACGTTTCAAAAGGACCTTCACGATGAAAATTTTTTTGTTAGAGGGTTAGCATTGCGTACTTTATGTTCGATGAGGTATTGATATATATTTTAACCTACGTCAATATGATTTTTTTACTAGGATTAAACACGTTATTTATTATTTATTTTTCGTTTTTATTCCAAAGGCTCTCAGAATATGTACCGTATATGCTAGAGTCGTTGAGTTATACTTTAACCGATTCAAGCGCGTACGTGCGCAAGACAGCTTTAATTTCATGTATCAAAGTATTTCATCTTTCCCCAAATCATGTGTTAGGTAGATTATTATTATGCTTTGTAAGTTGCAATTTATTACAACTTTTAACAATAAAAAAAATTGACCAAAAATTATATATTCTCAAATGACATAATTTATTTAAATATATTCTATTAAACACTACTTTGATTGATCAATTATATAAGACTCTCGGGGATCGAGATTCCGAGGTTGTCGCGAACAGCATTGTGGCTTTGAATGAGATTTTACATTCTCAAGGTGGAATGACTGTTAATAAAAAAGATTGCTCAATATTTACTTCAGAGAATTCGTGAATTCAATGAATGGCATCAGTGTTTAATTTTAAATACTCT